GCCTGACCTAGGGAGGATTTTACTTAGGGATGATTTTAAGAATAATTTTAATAGGAATAACAGCTTCTAATATTTGGTTTTTAATTTGGTTTTATAGGGGTCTATATTTTTTGTATTTTGTATTTGTACTTGTTTTAATATGCTGTGCACCGCCCTGAGTCCTGCGGGAGAAGGGCGGTATATAAATTAAATTAATAATTAATAATAATAGTGTCAGCTTTGATGCTGTTCAGCCATCGTATTTTTTGGCAGACTGGTTTCCTCTTTTAGCGCTAACTCTTCCCAACATAAATTGCTTTCTCCAGTGAATTTCCCCGCATGGCAAAATAAGTGAAATAAAACTCTTTAAAGAATCCCATTGTGCATAATATAAAAGAATCAATCCTGGGAGGATTGTTTGGGATCGGAATTTAATGAATTTTAGGAGAAATTTGTGACATAAAAGTTGTTTCAAATGTATAAAATTATCAAATATTGATCTGGAAAATCATCCAAAACTGCATTTCATACCACTAAAATTACATGACATAAATTTTAACTCACAAGATTGGGTTGGTGGGATTATAAAATACTTATAATCAGTTCTCATAGAAATGCTCATTATCCATTCCTTTTGGTCAAAGGTTTTGAAGATATTGGTGAAATCACCCAAAAAATGTTCATAGGACTCCTACCACTGACAATATTTCTTAAGGCACTTGAAGTGTTACAAGTAAGAAATATATTCAGATTCTTATCTCAACAAACTTGAATGTTGAAGTACTCTTTCTTTGGTCCAGTGTATTTAAAAATTTGGGAAATCGCTTTTAGTTCAAACATTAAAGGCAGGCTTTGAAAAATCCTTCAATTACTGATCAGTTTATTTAAATTTGATTACTATTTTTTATCTATAGTAACAATGTTGTTCCAACAGTTTATTTCAGGTTGTATAAATGTACTTGATAAAAATATTGAGAAAGATGAAATGCAAAGATTTTAAACATATGTATTCATATATATGTTTATTTCCATTTTTTATCTTAGTTTTTTAATTGCTTGCTATTGTTTAATTTGCTTGCTATTGTTTAATTTTTTAAAATACTAGCTGTACCCAGCTACGCGTTGCTGTGGCTCAGTCTGGTTAAATGGAAAAGAAAGAAAAGAGAAAGCGCATGTTTGTGTTGCTTTTACGTTCAACAGATGGCGCTGTTTTTCAAAAAAAGCATGTTTTTACCTGTCACAGGTGTGACATCTATATAATATAGGTATGTAAAAACACGCGCGTATTCGAATGCAACGTTGTGTCAAAATTTCAAAGCAATCGGTGAAGAGCTTTCGGAGATTTAAGATTTTGAACAAACGAACATTTACATTTTTATTTATATATAAGATAAGATAAGATAGAAAATATATACCTAGAAAGGTATTATTTTGAATGTGGAGTTTCTGGTTGATTTCTCACATTCAACAGTTAAACCAGAAATGTGTATTTTTTAAAAAATAATAGTTTCCCTTATATTCTATACTTAAGGACTTTAGTTTAGACAAGTATATGCCAAACTAAATCCAAAAGTAGATGAGGCTAAGACAAAAGCTAAACTACATTTAAATTACATTTTTATATATTTTTTATTTATATGACTGCCCATCTCAAATTTATAACTCTGAAAAGTTATTAGTTAAAAACACCGTAACAATAAAAACACACCTACATAAACAGCAGTCAAGATTAAAAACAGAACAAGCATAGTAGTAAGAATTGTATTTATTTAATGTTGAGAAAATGGAAACATCAAAGGAAGAAAAGGGGATAACAACCCCCTCACACTGGATTGTGTAGCATTGAATAGATTTATACTGAAGTTAAGATGCAACATTGAGTAACAAATGTACCTGGACATCACATTTGTTTACTAAGCATTTATGATTTGTAATAATAGAAAATCAATAAAATACTTATTAAAAAACAGAACAAGCAAAAGAACAACAAAAGTCAATGATGTTCAATAATTTTGCCTTTGTCTTAAGAACTGGGAAATAGGCAGGACTAGTTTTCAAAGCCATATGTAGCCTGTGCAGTTCTAACTTAGACCAACAGAGGTCAGTCTACAAACAATCATGGACACCTGTACTTATAAGCGGTAGATACACAGCACATTAGGAAGGCAGTACAAGATTGTACAGTATGGCAAACTGTGCCACAACCATCATCTTGGGCAAGCAGGTTAAAATAAAGCCACACTTTGAGGAGAATGATTTTTCTAAGTGGCATATGCTGCAGGTAAAATAGTATACTTTGGAATGAACTAGCACAGTGATGGCAAACCTTTTAGAGACCGAGTGCCCAAACTGCAACCCAAAACCCACTTATTTATCGCCGGGTGCCAGGTGGGTGTGGCCCACTGGATGGGCGTGGCTGTGGTCATGGCAGATTGGGTGGGTGTGGTCACCTCGATGTTGCTCGTGGGGAGGGATGCCTGTGGGGGCCGGGCAGGCTTGGGGGAGATCCAGGGGGTCTCTGGCAGGTGGGCAGGAGGCTCATCCTGAGGGGTGAGGCGAGGCAGGGCAGGGGTGCCACTGTTGCAAGGCAAGGCGAGGCAGGGGCCGGGGCGGCTGCTGCCTCACACATCAGCCCCCATACACAGAGGCCAACAAGCACATGGGGGCCGACAGTGTCCGTCAACAGCCACAGCCTGCCGGACCGTCGACCGGCACACTCTGGGGCTCCGCAGCCCACCACCAGAAATTCAGAGAAGCCGCCTCTGAGCTGGACAGCCGGCCAACAGCTGAGGAGGCGATGCCGTGGGTCGTGCCCAGGAAAAGGAGAACATGTGAGGCCAGGAGGGATGGGAGGGAAACCAGCCATGCTGGGATGCATCCGGCCACATGGCAGCTCGGCAAGTTAGCAGGCGGCTGGTTGAAGAGGGACAGTTGCCATCTCCAGGGCATGATGCGCGTGCCCACAGAGAGGGCTCTGAGTGCCACCTCTGGCACGTGTGCCATAGGTTCGCCACCACTGAACTAGCAGAACATTTTCAAAAGTTTCATTACTGCTGAATTAGACAAAGTGATGAAGAAACATCATTATAAGAATTTATTATTTAAATAAAATTTTCAGAAAAACAAAGGCAAAATTTCCCAAAAAATACTGTATTAATATTCATTACCCCCAAGTTTGATTTAACATATTTCAGACTCCACTGTTGCCATGCCATTACTCTATGTTGAAATATGAAAATCTAGTTATAAAGAATCACTCTTAATAAAGACAGAAAAGTAAACATAGTTCAACTATTTTGTTCTACCAACATCTCTAGGTAACTCCAAAAACTTGACAAATGAATTATTCTGATCCCATTTTCCAAAGCGCCTGAAGGCAGGACAAGAAGCAATGGTTGGAAACTAATCAAGGAGAGAAGCAACCTAGAACTAAGGAGAAACTTCCTGACAGTTAGAACAATTAACCAGTGGAACAACCTGCCTCCAGAAGCTGTGAATGCTCCAACACTGGAAGTTTTTAAGAAGAGACTGGACAGCCATCTGTCCGAAATGGTATAGGGTTTCCTGCCTGAGCAGGGGGTTGGACTAGATGACCTCCAAGGTCCCTTCCAACTTTATTATTATTATTATTATTATTATTATTATTATTATTTATAATGAATATGTTTAGTTGATTTCTTTGGCAGACCAATTAAGCCCAATTCAGTAAAAAACAAATAAGCTATCAAGAATTCTAGGTAAAAGCAGAAAAATAATTTATTCCAGGTTGTTCTCCCATAAAGGTTTTTTTTTTTTTAAAAAAACCCATAGAATAGCATGCAGACATTCGGTAAATTCAAAAAAGCTTGCAATGTCTATGGTCTATACAACCATCAAGAGGACTGACCTTTTCAAACAATAAGAACCCTGAGGGTAAGCAATTAGCAAAGAAAGTAACGCTATATAACTGCAACATCCATTATGTCTGTCAAGTTAATAAGACGCGCTCCCAAGTCCCAGCGATTCGTCAGCATTATTCATTGTCCTAACCAATTTTCAGAAAAGCTATTTTGAAAACGTATCACAGCACCGCGATGACAATTATTGCGACCACTAAAAGGCTATTTTTTGAACAACGTTATCTGGAGGCGGTCCCTGAAATCAGGAGACTGAATGAAAAAGCAGCCACGCGCGCCAAGGCTTGTCATGCTTCGTAAGTACAACTTCACGCCGTTTAGAAATCGAAGCGGCTTTGCGGCCCAATTGAAACCAGACATTCAGACGTAAAAGACGAATGCGGCACCTCCGGCGATCAAGGTCACAAGCACTGGCATCCCAGAAAAACAGCACTTCTTGAGCCAGGAAGAAGCGCGCCCATGCCTTGGCATTCTGCCGCGGACAGGGGGGCGGGCAGCAGCACCGGCCTCCGACTCGAGAGAGGAAAAGCGAAAAGCGTGCGGCGGCCGGCAACACCTACCCCACCTCCCAGCAGTGGAGTCAAGAACTCGCGAGGCCTCCGCTCGCCAAGCCCACGCGGGCGCTACGAGCCGGAGGGGCCGGCACGCCAGGCCCGCGGCCAGCCCCCTAAGAAAGGCTTCAGAGAACCCGGGAGCTCAGGAGCCATTCGCCTCCACGGTGCGTCGCTCGGCTCCGCGCTGAGGTAAAATCAGCCACCCGAACCCCGGGAGTCTCCCTCAGCCCCCGCCGGTCCCCGCCCCTCTCCGCCTTTGTGAGGCCGTGGCGGGAGCCCTTGGTGTTTCCTGCCGGGTTTCCCCCGGCTGCTTTCTCCTGGGAGTTACCCGAGAAGTGTCGTGTTCTTACCGGGTTCTCCGCACGGAAAAAGGTGAGAGCGTGGAAGTCAGTCTTCCCGCTAGGTCCCGTTACCGAACCCAAACAACCGCCGACGACGACGCAGCAGTGCCACAAAATGGCCGCCACGGCTGCAGTGCCGCTAGTCCGATCGCCGTGAGGGGAAGGAGGGAGGGCCTTCAGTGGGAGGAGCGGGTGGGGGCGTGGCTTTTGCTCTCGAGCGGGAGCTTGGAGAGGCGCCGCTTGTGAGGCGGCTTTGCTCACAAGCTCTCCCAGTCGGAACCTTTGCGTTGGACAAACGAGATCGCCGATCCCGCGCGGTCGCTGTCACCGGATCCCGAATGTGTTGCAGATGTTTAGAAACTGAAACCCCCGGCTGTCTAGTCGTCTTTATCGACAAGTATCCCCCACAGCATCACGCTGCTGTTGAGTAGTATACAAAGTACTACGTTATCGGACGGAGCAGAGACCGTTTTCTTCCCAAAATTACGCGCTATTTAAGCCTGCAAAGAAAAAAGGATATTGCTGTGTAATATGAAATCACGTGTTCGCAGTGCAGTTTTAGCTCTTCGTATCTTTAGCTGCTACAAAAATCTTCGGTAACCAGGTTCGGAATGACTTCGCCCTGAGACATTATAGTCTCATCACTGGAGGAAATCCTGGGCTGCAAATTAACCCCACGCGTGGCAGCTTCATAGGATCACGTTTATCCCCATAGCAAAAGATCGTCAAGAGACGAGTGGGTGGATTAAGCCTTACATTATAGGGTTGCCAGGTGTCCACTATTTGAGTGGACAGTCCACTTTTTTCACATTATGTTCACTATTTTTTTTCACAAAATAGTGGACATTTTTTTTATTCAAAAGCTTTATGATGAAATGGTACGTAATCTAAAGCTGTACAGTCTACTTTTTTACTACTTAACCACCACCACCCCGCTTGTCCGCTATTTTTTGGAAGCAGACCTGGCAACCCTACTTACATATACTCCCGTATATTTCATCAAAATCGAAAGCCCACAAACTAGAAGAAATCCGAAATACTGGAAAATTCTTTCGATACTCTTGATTATGCTCGATATAACACAATCGCGAAGTAATCAACATACTTATTGAAGATATTGCTGCTATTCGTCACGTGGGAAGCTCGACGCAGCTGCCCCTCCCACTATAATTAATAGTTAATGACACTATTTTGTCAAAGCTGCTTGTACATGTTACTACTAGGTATTCCCATTAGGTCGCCCACTTATTACATTTATTCTTGCTCAGAAATCTGCAGGGATTTAAAAACGGGGTATTAAATGATAATTTTGAGACACATACTTCTTTGAAATTTGCCTTACACACACTTTTTAAAGAATATAATTTTATATACCTAGCCCACTACTCAGAAAAATCCCAAAGCATACACTAATGAAAGCTGGTATCAAAATCTGAAGCCGAAGATCTTGTCTTTTAAGTCCTGGATCAGTTCCTGGAGGCTCTAAGGCAGTGGTTCTCAACCTTTTTAATGCCGCGACCCCAACCGGTCGTAAGTCGAGGACTAAACCGGTCATAAGTCGAGGACTAAACCGGTCATAAGTCGAGGACTAAACCGGTTGTAAGTCGAGGACTACCCAATCGGTCGTAAGTCGAGGACTTTCCCTGCCCGGGAGCGCTGCGCATGCATGGTTCCGCCCCCTGCGCCAGCCGAGGCGTAGCTGGCAAGCGGCAGAGATGGAGCAGGCCGACCACCAGCTGGCCCAGCCCAAGGGAGGCAAGGCACCTGCCGGAAAAGGGGGGAAATGGCGGACAAAAAAAATGGCGGACAAAAAAAATGGCGGACAGCCTTGCTTGGCGACCCCCATGAAATGGTCGATCGACCCCAAATGGGGTCCCGACCCAAAGGTTGAGAACCACTGCTCTAAGGAGCCTGATGGGGCAAAAGAAGCTCAGATTAAACCCTTCCAAGCTGGAACTGCTTGTCAGTAAACATCTGAGAAGTCCTGTACTGTATTTACTGTAGTCCTGTCATACACCCCTGAAAAAGTTGGTTTGTGACTTGGGGTCCTCCTGGATTGTCAGCTTCTATTAAAACAGAAGGAAGGCGTAGCCAGGGGGCTGTCTGTCCAGCTTTGATTAGTTACCACCCTACCTTGATCAGGATGTACTGGCAAGTTAATCATAAAGTGATTAGATGATCTATGTGGGGGGGTGCCTTTGGAGATGACCCGGAAACTCCAATTGGTACGGAAAGCAGTGTCATAATTGCTGATAGAGCTAAACCCTACCCAGTTTTGGAGTTGCTGAATTGATTCCAGCAAGCTTCCAGGACCAATTCAAAGTTGTAGTCATTACTTTTAAAACCATTCAGAATACAGGACTGACCATTAATCTGTTGAAAGTCTGACTCCTTGAAGGTTTGTGAGGCATAGACCAAGCAACAGATCTTAGGAATGATTTCCATTATGAAATATGTACTACCCCAGTATGGGTGGCCCAATAGTCCTTGCCTTAAGGAAGCAATTTACAGTAAAGTACTGTCCCAGTTAGCTGTTGGCTCATTATTCTCTTTGAGTGACCATCATAGTGAGTTGTTATAATTTTAATTGTATTTTATTCTAAACTGCTGTACTCTGCCCAGAGTCTGTATAGATAGTTTGTATAGATTAGGGTATTTTATAAATACTGTATTAAAGGATATGATCATGCCGATGTTCTGATCTGCAACTTTTGGAATTGCCTCCCTTTTAAATGCAAGGACACATTTAAATCTTTCAGGGATGTCACGTGGCCTTGGGACTTCAAGTTATGCATCTCTAGAGTTAATTTGATGTGCTTAACACAATAAATGTTTGTGCTACATTATGTGATTAAGGTTAGATACCACCATTATAACTCTTTCCACCCACACTTACTAGCATATGATCTTGTCAATTAAATTTGGAGTCTTACCAGTTGCTATGTCATGCAAATTTGTAACACTATTGTTTTGCAGATAATGGAATTTGAAATCATAACTAAGACGTAGTATTGAATAGCTAATTTATACTACAATTACATTACTTCCATTATACAGCCTAATAATGGAAACAGATTATTGTAGCCCCTGCAGTTTTCTTGGCAAGGCTTTTCAGAAGTGGCTTTCCATTGCCTCCTTCCTAGGGCTGAGAGTGACCCAACATCACCCAACTGGTTTTGTGCCTAAGGCAGGATTAGAACTCAGTCTCCAATTTCTATCCTGGCAGCTTAACCACTACATCAAACTGGCTCTCCTATACACTTGTCATATGTACTTGACAATTATGTTTTCTAATAAGCCACAGTTAAGCAAAACCATGGCATACTGTGCTGCATGTATACTGTCGTCAAGTCGTTTAATATCTATCATTTCACAGCATATCATAAAATAATTAGCAAATTTTAAAGGGAAATGAAGAAAAATCCTTTGATTGTTATAAGTAATCCTGAACTTACAACCACAATTGGGACCAGAAAATTTATTAAGCAGTGCAATTGTTAACTGAGACATCATGTAACCACACCTGATTTTAATTTTTTGCTGGGGTTATTAAGCAAATCACTGCTGTCATTTGAGTAAGACAGCACACAACGACTTGAGACCTTCCCTGTTGGCTTCCCCATTGACTTTGCTTGGTTAAAGCCAGCTGGAAAGGTTGTAAATGGTGATCATGTGGCCCCAGAATGCTGCAAGCATCATAAATGCAAACTGGTTGCCAACCATTTACATCACGGGTGTCAAACTCGCCACATCAAGTGACGTGTCGCGATGTATCGCAACTTTTTGCATTGCCGGCAATGGGGTGGGCGCAGTTTCGGTATGATGAAACCGGCCTGCGGCCCGGCAGTTTGACACCCCTGATCTAGATTGTGATAATGTGACCATGGGACACTTTGACAATTGTAAGTGCAAGGACCTGTTGTAAGACATTTTTTCAGCACCATTGTAACTTCAAACAGTAATTAAATAAATGGTTATAAGTTGATACTACCTGTATTAAAGGATATCATATTTATAACAGGATGTCAAAAATGCCAAATATATATATAATTCAGGGCTAGTGAGATCTTTCTTTTTTTTTAAAAGGATGGCACTATAAGCTTTAATAGTTATTTCAATCTGTCTCAAACAGATTTGTCCCTTGGGTGGGATAGAACAAAAAGTGCAGTATGAGAATATTTATATAATTAATGCTTCAATTCAATAATCAGGCATGCCATGTAACAATATTAGCGACACTAAATAAAATGTCAATACAATAGAAGCCATACTAAGTGAAATCCTTTGTTAAAGGATTTATCTAGGTAATGCAAATGTAAAATGTAAATGGTTTTGCATTGTAGATTTAATTGACTACCGTATAGCACTTTTCATCAAAATTATAATAGACTTTTGAAATTTTCTTCATCAATGGAATTTCTAGTCTGCAGGAAATTGGTTTTTGCATTGGGAAAATATAATTTCAGCAATTAAGGAAAAAAAGCTTTATCAAGTAACACATTAATCCATTTATACTTGTAACAAAGTAGTTTGGTGGATAGGATTTTGACTGGTAACAAAATGACTACACTAAAATGGGGAACCCTGAATTATGGGAATATGAACAAAATATGAAAGATTATTGTCAGGGTCCACTTCAAAACCTCATCCTAAGAAAGCAGAACTCGTGGAAGCAGTTTCTTCCAAAAGGAACTTTTATTAGGAGAAGCTGACAGCAGGCATAATAGACTGGATCTGAGGGTTTCCCGCTCAGATCAATAGGTTAAAAGTGTCCCAAGCAAAACCCTACCCCATAGTTCATCTGGTCAGTTCAAATGGGCCAATCCCCAGGTGTTAAGTCTGTTGTGGGAAAGAGTAGATAACATCATGCTTTCTCAAGGTTGCAGTGACGTTATGTCGGCTCTTCACACCTTCCCTTCAGAGCCCACAGATAAACCATTTGCCGGAGGCACATTCCTTTCTCCTCCCCCCTTCTCTAGCTGACTTCAAGGGGAGAGATAGTTCACAGAGGAAGTATGCAGAAATAGCAAAGTGTTACAATGTAGCGACAGGAAAATAAAGCAATAGCCTGCAGTGCTTCCCCCCCTCCCCTCCAGGAGCATGGCAGAACCCAGAAGTATAGAGAGAACAGAGTTTGAGTTTAAAGCAAGAAAGGGGTCCCCTTAGAATATGGGTTCTGACAATTATACAATCTCTAATTTTTGGCTATTAAAATTTCCTTCACGTCAGATATGCGCACTCCTTCAAATAAAAGCTTGTGGTGTACTCTCTTTTTGTAACAATTGTATTGAAACATGGAATCCTGATATTATCTGAAATGGAGCTAAATATCAAAGAGGTAGAGAGGGACATTATCTGTGAATGATAACTTGTTCT